AATATCTAATGAGTTATCTCAGTTTTTCTCTTTTGGCCTATCAATACAAAAAGACTGCTTACTATTGAGCCATTTTGTATTCCTAGAATTATTAATAAATTATTAATATGAATATGAAATATTATAAATAATGAGAAATTATACTATTATTACTAAGAATAATAAAGAAAAAGAAAGTGAAGCCTGCTGAGTTGTAACAGTTAGGCTCTATATCCTTGCTTTCTATTCTAAATACTAAAAAAAAACCCCACACCTTTACGTGTAGCAAATACAAATATTCATTCATGTGTTAAAGGCTTGTTTGTTTTACACTAAAACACCACATTGCACGAAACTCTTGGGACTAACAGTAAAAGAAAAAATTTAAAAATGCTTATTTTAACAGGACACACTACTATATATTCACTGCGCCACTTCTGCCATTGAGTCGATTTGACTCATAGCGATCACTCCTTGGGTTTCCGAGGCAGTATCTCTATGGAAGTAGATTGCCCAACCTTCCTTTTGAGGAGTGGCTAGTGGGTTTGAACCGCCAGCCTTCAGCTTAATAGTTACATGCCTTAGGTACTATGCTACTAGAGCTCCTAATGTTATTATCAATGTGTAAAAAGTTTAAAGTGTACATAGGACTAACTAAAATGCTCTTTAAACAGAGGCTTTCTGTAAGAGAAACTGGTTCTGTATCAAAGTTTGCATTAATTCTGGAGAAGTTCATTTAATTTTCTCTGTTCTTGCTGCTCAGGTTTTTATAATTACTCTTTTTTCTCTTATTTTTTGAAAAAAATATACACAATATACAGTTAGCAAGACATACAATTGCATAAAAATGTAAATTATTCCACAAGTTAAACTGATTCACAACTCTGTCTTTAAATTTTTTAAGTTCAACATCAAATCCTGGAGGTGCTAGAGCCTTATGATTAAACTCTAAAGGCCTGACCAAAGAGATGAGAAATAGGTCACATCCTGTTCTATGGCACTGCTGTAAAGTGACCTGCTCTCCATGCCTAGAATAAGCAGTGTTCAAGTTTAAGTGGAAGCATTCCAATTTGCTCTTGTGGGGATAAAGACATTCTGAAAAAGGTTAAAATCAGTTGGATATCAGTGTTTCAACAAAAAGACTTTCAGAATGTAACAATATCTAGATTTAAAAAAAAGCTATTTCAAAAATATCCAAATTATGCTACTTATGATGAGAATTATGGAACCTTGAACTCACACACACACACACACACACACACACACAAATTTATAATAAACAAAGGTTTTCATTTTTGTCTTCTGGGAGAAAAAATTATTTCCAAAACATTCCATTACTACTTCATGACAAAATTTGTGCATCATTTGGAAAATAGTGATTATAACTTTCTGAGCAACAAGATTAATGATTACAGAACAGCACATTTTGACATATACTAGAAAAGCAAAACATAACAGTTCTGTGAACGCCTATGGCTTTCAGAGTAAAAAACTGATAATCCCACCATCATTAGGTTTAGCTCATTCCTAGTGACTACTGACAAGGAATGTTTTAGAGGGCCATCAAACTGTGATGGAGTGATCGTGGGACAACATAATTAGAAACCTGGACACCAATCCTTTTCACTGTCCTAACAAAGACAAGCTACTTAGCCAGAGGCCATTGTCTCATCTCTAAAGAGTATAATAAACCTTGATTACTTAAAAGGCAATTAAAACTAACATTTTATAATCTCTAAAGTGCTGCATGTTAAGATATTAAGAGAAACTAAGGGAAGTAAGATAAGATTTTTATGTTATTTCTTTAGCAGAAAGGGAGGGTGATGGTAGTGTACTATACTAAAATACAAAATCTGAATTAGAGTATATGATGTATTCTTTAATATTAGCTCATTTATCAGAGGTTCTACTTGTTATTTTTTTTTAATTTTACATCTGGGCAACTCAAGAAATTGGGAGTTTTAAAGTTTTTAAACATTTTAATTCTCCTTAAAATTTATTTTTACATAGTCTTATGTCAAGTGTATTTTATACATTTATTTAGATACTAAGGAGCCCTGGTGAGGCAGAGGTTAAGGAGTCAGCTGCTAACTAAAAGCTTGGCAGTTCAAACCCCCCAGCTGTTCCATTGGAGAAAGATGTGGCAATTTGCTTCCACAAAGATTACAGCCTTGGAAACCCTGTCTTAAGGGTCACCATGAATCGGAATCAACTGGATGGCACAGAATTTAGATACTACTGAAACACACATATATATCAAGCACTATGTGGGACTTGGGAGAGACTAATAGTTTTTCACGGAACAACTCCTTATGGAATTCAGTCTAATGAAAAACTAGTACTCAATAGCAAATACATTATCTGGGAGTAAATACAGGGTATTATGCGAGTATCTCAGTAAGACCCCTAAAGGAATTAAGGAAGGATTATCAGGTGAGAAGTGGTACCTTTGCAGGCTAAATGAGAAAAGACCTGGGAGTAGAATATGGCAGGATGGGACCTAGTGAAAAGATAGCAATTTGTGCAAAAGCTGGGAAGGGGGCAAGAGAGAATCTGTCAAGTCCAAGTAGTTCAGACTTAGAAAACAGTGGAAGGGCAGGGCTACTAAAGCCCTAATAGAGATGAGACCAGGATTTGAATTGCTCTTCAGCCACTTAGAAACAGCTAAATGAACCTGTTTGTTCAACTATTAAGAGACCATTAACTGTGACTAAATGGGACTCTGTAAATCAATGCCTGTAAAATAGCAGGGTGGGCACAAATACCAAATTCTCTTGTCTTCTTTTGTCTACAAGTATATGGTTCAGAGTGACGGTTGAAAGTATGAGTGCCTAGAGAAAGCTGCAGCTCTTCACTTCCAAACCACAGAGGCAAAGATATGAATAGTACCCACATTCCAGATTTACTGGGAGACTTACATGTTAAATAAAATCTTAGTCACTGCCTGACACACGGCAGAAACTCAACGAAGATTTCCAAGAGTCACTATTGTAGGTCCACAAACTCTTACCTGCAGTTTTCCATCAAAAACCTTTGAAAACTAAAGAAAACTTCCCAAGTTTAGCACAAAATTTATGTGATGGCAAAATGTGACTTGAATTTATTTATATGATTTCTATTAATCCCCAACTAGGAGCTCTGGTAGCTTAGTGCCTAAGGCACTTGACTGCTAACCAGAAGGCTGGCGGTTTAAACCCACCAGCCACTCCTCGGAAGGAAGATGGGGCAATCTACTTCCGTAGTGATACTGCCTCGGAAACCCAAGGAGGGCTCGACCGCACATCACAACAATCCCCAACTAGAGCGAATATGCACACCTTTCACTGCACAAACACTAAGGCTGGACTATCAGGTTGTTTCCCCCTAGCCCTGCTGGGGCTGTTATCACACATGTACGCACCTTACTGTCTTTCTAAAATCTAAAGATTTCTGAATTCCAAAACTCACTGACGTCAAGGCTTTCGGATAAAAGTAGGGACAGGTTATTATCATTCCTCCTGGAGAGCTGAAAAGAACATTCCAATATAAGCAACTGAATTCAGAAGTTTCTGAGGCAAACTAGTTTTGAATATGGGGTTCAGAGACAACAGCAGCAAGAAAATTGCCTATTCTTCTTGCCCCCAATACACTCTTTAACAAATTACTTTTTCCTTTTTATTTTTATAGAAGTCCCGCCCTTGAGTCTTCTCCCTGTGCAAATTCCCCCTGAACAAATTACTTTTGAAAGCTGCCTTCACCTGTAATGAGGGTTTGTTTTCAAAACAAGGCTTCATAACCACCAAGTGTACAAGTGTTTATTTCTCATAATAATGCTATAAAAAATAATTTTCAATCAAGTGAAGACAGTTTGCTGCTACATTAGCACCTTTATTAAAAGCACTTCTTTTGGTTCCCCACGTAAAGAGCAAAACGGCTCAGCTAATTATAACCTACAAAGCACATTATGCGTTCCCGAATCCTAAAGAGTCTTAACAGAACTCAGCACCTCCTGTAGTTTGTCATGAGGATTCCTCCAATATATTTGCTAGCAACTTCTAATTAATAATAACCTCAACGTTGTGACAACTGCGTTACCTTAACTAAGTGCCAAATTCCTCTACGGCTCGTAGCGGGCCTCTCTCCCTTTTTATTAGATATTAATAAATCCGGAGGGTCAGGGCCAAGGGGCGTGAGGCCCGCAGCCTTCTGGGACCACATGAACAAAGGGAATCCAGGATCAGCCGGAACGAACCGGCCACGGAGCGGGTCGTGCCCGCCGGGTGGGGGCGGGAGTGGGGGAGGGGCCAAGCTCACTCCCTGCCTCCTCCTCCTCCAGTTCCCCAGCCAGGCCTGACGTCATGCGCGGAGATACCCGCCGGGCGTGACGTCACTGGCCTCAGACTCTTCCCTTAGGGGCGATAGGGATACCAACCTGCAACGGGATGATTCAGGGAGCCTTATGTGAGAAACCACGGTCCAAGTACTGGAGATGACTCAAGATACCTCCGTCACCGCCCCCGCCTCCTGCTTGGGCGCGCCCGCCAGCCCCTCAACCTGAGCTTCCCTGCCACCCTCTACGACCCTCACTAGCGCCGAAGCAGTCTCACCCGGCAAGATCCGAGCCCGCAGCAAGGTCTAGAAGCGATGATTGGTCCGAGGGAACTGAGCGCTGAAGAACCGAGCGCAGCCTGACAACAGCAACGACAGCACCAGAACTAGCAGCGCGCGGCTCCTCCAGGCGCCGGAACAGGAAGCGCCTCACGGCTCGCGCGCCGTCCCCGCCGGTGCTCCGCCTCCCGTAGGGCCGGGCTGCGCGCGCCCCCGCAGGCCGCCAGCTGAACTGCGGCTCCCTCTAGTGCCCGCCCCAAGGCAGCTGTTCTCTTGGACAGCCGGCGGAAAGGTCCCGGGTTTTTCAGAGTTCTGAGGACTCAGAGGAAAAGCTTGTGGCCGGTGAAGTTCAGGGCAGCCGGGCGGAAATTGCTAACTTACTGCCTTGA